CCCACTGGCAGCCCGGGGATGAAGCAGGTATCCAGGGGAGCTGTGCTTGAGCAGTGCACATCCCAACTGCCTGCACCAAAAGGATGGTACAGGCAGCTTGAGGGGAGCCTGTGTCTCTTGGGGGAGAGCATCAGCTCTTCTGCCCTGCATGAGCATGGGTTAAATGGTTCTCTGCTTTCCTGAGGTGGAGCTGGAGGATCGTCTGTCCCAGCACAGAGAGCTACCACTGTTGCAGCTCCTTCTTTAACCAGTATTTTAGCAAAATCCATGTTTAATTTGGTTTGAATCTCAGCTCTGTCTTTCATCAGGCCAGCAGGATGAAAACCATAGGAAAGGTCTCCTTGTGGGGCCAATTTGGGCCTGTTTGTGGAGAGATTTGATCTCCCCTGAATGTGTGCACAGCCCCCCTCATTGTTAGTGCCACTGGCTTCCCCTCTGCTGGGACAATAGTGCCTATCTCCCCTCTTATCTCTCTTCTCTTCCTAGCCTGTATCCCTGGCAGGCAGGGAGGGCGGGACCTTTGGGAAGAGCCAATTATGCAGATGGAGGAGCGAGAGGTGCTGTGTCAACCAACATCCCTTTTCTGGGAGAGGGGACAAGAAGAGGGAGCCTGTCCCAGCTCTTCCCTGCTTGCTCTCCCCTCCATGCTCCTGTAAGCCCCACCAGGAGGTGCTGTGGTGGGATCAAGGATGTTGCTCTCTGGCCCCTCAGCCATGCTGGGGCAGCATCAGTGGGTAGCTCACCTTGCTGGGGCCTTGGGTGCGGGAAGAGCAAGGTGACCATTGTTTGGGATGCTGGAAGTGTCCATGGTGGAGGCTGTGGGTGCGCTGGCTGACCTGATCCTCCACCTCAAGTGAAGCCATGAGGGATCAAGGTGGGATCCATCCTTTGTAAACCCATCTCTCCATCTTTACTTTGGTGTGTTCAAAGCCAGAGCCTGCAGACAGGGCACTCCAAAGCTTGCTTGACTGGAGCATGGTGGTCACGAGCCAAGGCAGCTGGCTGTTGCTGGTGGTGGAGCTACTGTGAGCCCTGTGAGGTGGGAGGGTCCCAGTGGCAGGGACAGCATTTTTTAAGCTGCCCCAAAAGCACAACAGCAATTAGGAGCCCTGCTTTAGATTTTGCCTAAGCCATGAGAGTCTGCTGGGTCCCTTCCTTCTGCTGGTGAGGAAGTTAACAAGGAACCCCTTGCTTTCCACTGCAGGTAAAAGAAAGCACAAAAAAGGCAAGGAAAGTAGATGTAGAAAAGCAAAAGGGTGGGGAAGAGGCAGTTGTGGAGCCAACTGTGATGGGGGAGTGTCTTTAAATCAAAGCACTCTTCTAAAAAGAAAACTTAAGCCCAGCAGATCTACTCAGCAGTCAAGTTCTGACTTTTTTTTCTTTTCTCAAAGCTATGTAATAATCATTAAATGCAGGGGATGCTTTGTAAAATAGAACTCAAGAGAAGGGGGGAGGATGGAGCAGAATTTAAATTTAAAATTGGATAGAGATACAAAGCCCCTTAGTTTGCCATTTCGTCTTAATGCAGCTGGAGCTGGGCTTGACAAGATGCTGCCCAGAGCCTGTGGTAAATGTTTTACGGTACCGTGTATCAACCAGATCAATTCTACTACGCTTGAGGGAGTGCAGATAAAATGGCTTAAAGATTCCCCTGCTGAAAGCGATAGTATCATCATTTATGCTGCAGAAGACAGATTTAGTCGCCTGACATTTATTTGGCCGCGGTGTACTTTGCGGATTTCACACCCGGGGACGATAGCCAACCTGATGATGTCAGATGTGAGCTGCAAGAAAAGGGAAAAAAAGAAAGAAAAAGACACAAAAAAAAATAGCGCTGTTCCTCTTTGGTCAACCCGGATGAGTTCTGTGAAGTGTCTTGGTTGTTTTGCTCCACGGAGCTCTTCAGTGGACAAGAGTAGGATGTTACTGAAATGGTACATCCTGCGCGTGCTTTGTGGTACGAAATGGTGGCAGAAATACCTGTTAACTGATGTGATTTCTTTCAATCCTGTCTGGCCTGTAGGTCACTCGAACTCCAAACTGAGCGAACATGAGCGCGCTTGATTTGACATCCATCCTTGATTTCCTGGAAACAGCCAACCTGACGGAGATCAACTGGACGTGCAGCAACGGCGACTGCATCACGGTGGATGCGACAACATGCCCTGGCACGCTCAACAAAAGCGCCCTGCTCTACACCTTGTCCTTCTTCTACATTTTCATCTTTGTCATAGGGCTGGTGGCCAACTCGGTTGTGGTGTGGGTCAACCTCCAAGCCAAAATGACTGGCTATGAAACCCACCTCTACATCTTCAATTTGGCCATCGCCGATCTGTGCGTCGTCATCACCCTCCCTGTGTGGGTCGTCTCCCTCGTCCAGCATAACCAGTGGCACATGGGAGAAATCACGTGCAAGATAACTCACCTTATATTTTCCATCAACTTGTACAGCAGCATCTTCTTCCTGGCTTGCATGAGTGTGGACCGCTACCTGTCTGTGGCCTATTTCACCAACTCCAGCAATCGCAAGAAGAAGATAATCCGTCGCTGCATCTGCATCCTGGTTTGGCTCCTGGCCTTCTCCGCATCTCTCCCAGACACCTATTACCTCAAGACGGTCTCTTCCAGCAATGAAACCTACTGCCGTCCCGTCTATCCGGAGGAGAGCTTCAAAGAGTGGCTGATTGGCATGGAGCTCATCTCTGTTGTGCTGGGCTTTCTTATCCCCTTTCCCATCATTGCTGTCTTTTATTTCCTCCTTGCCAAGACCATCTCTGCCTCCAGTGACCAAGAGCGGAAGAGCAACGGGAAGATCATCTTCTCCTACGTGGTGGTGTTTCTCGTCTGCTGGCTGCCCTACCACGTGGCTGTCCTGCTTGACATCTTCTACAGCCTTCATTTCATCCCCTTCAGCTGTCACATGGAGAACTTCCTGTACGCCACTCTCCACATCACTCAGTGTTTCTCTCTAGTCCATTGTTGCGTCAACCCCATCCTGTACAGCTTCATCAACCGCAACTACCGATACGAGCTCATGAAAGCCTTTATTTTCAAGTACTCTGCCAAAACAGGTCTCACTAAACTCATCGACGCTTCCAGGGTGTCGGAAGCAGAATACTCTGCTCTGGAGCAAAATGCCAAATGACTGCAACCCCATGAAGAAACCTCCCTGACTCTCTGACCAGGTGTTTCCTTGTGTGTTGTGGTTTGTTGTTTATTTTTTAACTCCCTCCTTTCCATGTGCTTGTTATGAACGGGGCATGAATTCCAGCCTACAAAAGAGAGAGCAAAGTGTAATTTAAGAGTAGAATCAGTTGCAAAGTGGAAGTGGTACCAAAATTAAAACCTTTCCTCCTCCTAGCCCAGTCTGGACTTCTCAACAACGCTATGCAAATGGAAATGACTTCCTAGCAGACAAAGCCATTGTGTACTACAAATAACACACATTTCCAGGATAAGCTTTTCCTTCCACATGTAGATTCCCTCTTGTCTCCTTGTATGTGTTTTTATATATAGTGTGTTGTATTTAAAAGCTCGAGACTTTATTTTCTGGCTCTTGGTGTACCTTATACAATTGTATTTGAAAGTTAAATATATTTTTATCATGTATTTGAAGTATATTGCTGATGAGTGTATCCAGAGTGCTGTAGTCTGAGTGTTAGATTGCCGTTTGGTTTCAAGAGGATGCTGATAACCAGAATGGAAATGGTCTCTTAGGTGCATCCTCCCTGGCTGACACACTTTATCGACCGTAGCTTTATGTGGTGTCATACCCACATGTCTGGAGCATGAAATGTATGTAGTGTAATATAGCTGCCATCATGTTAAAATTAACAGTATTGTCAGAGTCATTAACTCCTGTGCCCCTGCTTCACCAAGCTGTGTCCTTCTGCACAGAATGAATGATCTTACTGCTGAGAGTTGTCTCTATTTGTAAGTTATTTTTGTAAAATAAAGATCTGCGAAAAAAAAAAAAAGCTATGCCTGCCAGTGGTTTGACTTGCCATGCTCCTCCTCCTCAGGAAAAAAAAAAAAAAAGCCAAAAAGAAAAAATCCCAAGGCCACCCTCTGTCCTTTGGTGCAGGAGCAGACAGGTCAGTCGGTGTTTTCCTGGCGTTTGTTGGCAGTGGCCAGAAACCACTGATGGGGGAATGCGAGACAGCACCGGTGTGTAGTGACTGGGGAGGGGGTGGGAGGAGCAGATCTGTGGAGGGCTGTGCTGTTGGGAGAGGTAAAACTGATGGATTTATAGGGTGAAAACCGTTGGGAGTGATGAAAAGCTGTGTTTTTCTAGCTTAGGAACAAACACGTGGAGGAAAACTACGCAAGCGTGCAGATGGAGCGGATATTTGGACTAATCCAGGTTCAGTGCTCCGTGGGTTTTGCTTGTGATGGAATTGGGGGGTTAGTGGTCCTGACAGCACTAAATCCCTTTTTATCTCCTCTTCCCTTTGTTATGGTTTTCATGGGCAGGATGCAGCCGCTGTGGGACCCGTGAAGTGGAGCTTTAGGCCAGCGAAGCACTCGAGTCGTGGCCGTCTCAGGACAAGGTATTTAATGTCAACTCGATGATGTCTCCCAGCCGTCACTGGGGTGTGTGTTTTACAGCTCTAGCACAGCGCTAACTGTGAAGGCTGTGCTTAAATTCCTGTTAAATCCAAGCATGCCCTCCTCTCTCTGTGATCCCAACTGCCAAAATATCTCGACTGTGTTTTTGTTTCTTTCTCCATGTTCCATTACTGCCTCCTTGAAGGTCAGGCTGTAAAAATAGATGTTTACCAGCGCTGCCAAATCTGCCATCCCCTCCTTTTGCTGGTGTTGCTAAGAAAGCACTGGTCCATCTCCAGATGGGGAGAAATCCCAAAAGAGAGAGGATTTCTGATGGCAGAGAAGGGCAACTGGCGTAGCTGTGACAACGGAATGCCAATGTAGCTTTCTGTGCTGATGCTTCTTATAAGCAATGGATGTTTTGAGCTTCCTGTGAGCCTTTCTTGAGGTACTGCTGAACTGCAAGGAAAGTGCTCCCTCATGCTGACAGATAAAATTGGTTAATGCTGAGAAATTAATTTCCTGCTTTAGCTGAGCATTGTTTCCCATGCCTCAGCATCGCTCTGTGTTCTCTCCAAAGGTGCTGGATACGGCTCTGGCACCCCCTTCCCATCCACCTATGGGGTCTTGCTCAGTTTGGAGCAGCAGAACTGTTTCAGATCAGGTTCCCTCTCAGACAGTGTGTTGTTTTCGCATGGTGCTGTAGCTGGTTTGGATTGGCAGAAACTCATGGATATTTTTTTTTCTCTCTGCAGTTTGGTATTCACAGCACAGTGTCAGCCCTGGAGATACCTTGGGTGGTGCTGAGTGTTGGAGAGATCCTGCAGACCTGCTGCAGAGACCAGACTGATAAAGTCTCCAGGCCTCTTGATGAGGTGGATCGTGGTGGGACAGTGCCTTTTTGCAAAAGCAGGGTCAGACAGAGAGCAGGTAAAGGTCAGGACCTTGACCAACAACTGTATCGTGCACACACAGGTCCTTTCCAGCTCCTCAGAAGGAAAGACCTGAGGCTGAGCACCCACCTTGTCTCCTTGGCCCTTGAAAGGACAAGAGGAGCTGGAAGGCAGCACCCCCACACACCAGCAGCACTGGGCTGTGGAAGGGGGAACAAGGTCCTCTCCAGGGATCAGCACTGGTGGGTGATCCTGAGGTGGCCATGACCTGTGATAAGGGTGGTAATGGGCAGAGGGTGGGAGATGGGTGGAGTGCAGAACAGTGCAGGGGGACAGAAGGATGGAGTTTGTCACTGTTGCATATTTCTCATTAGGACTTTGTTTTCATGCAAAAAGTTCCCCAAAATCAAACTGTAGCAGAGGTATAATAGGAAAAAACATGTCTGTGTTCTAGGAAGCTTTCCTCATGGCTTCGTGTGATGCAATACCCCAGCTGGTGTTTGCACTGAGACCAAAAAAGTGAATATGCACCCCTTGGAGTCTGATATGAGGGAATTTGTCAGTGGATAACAGGTGAGTGAAAATGGGAGTTTGCAGATAGATGTGACTGTGACTTGGAGTGACTGATTTGATGGCAGCTGTCACCTTGTTCAACCAAATGCCCCAACTCTGGAAACTGGGGTGTTCAGGAAGAATTCAGGAAGAATTTCTTCATGGGAAGGGCAGTTGAGCATTGGAAGGGGCTGCCCAGGGAGGTGGTGGAGTCCCCATCCCTGGAGGTGTCCAAGGAAGGACTGGATGTGGCACTTAATGCTCTGGGCTGGGTGACAAGGTGGGGATTGGGCACAGGTTGGACTCGGTGACCTTGGAGGTACTTTCCAACCTCAATGATTCTGTGTTACGAAGGACCCCCGCTTTTCCTGCTGTGGCTTTGTAGCTGCCTGTGCCTGGGCAGCTACAGTTGTATGTGGGGGTTCAGGTCTTGCCTTTGCCAGGAGCTCAAATTCACTGTTAAGGGTTGGGTGGAAAATAAGTAAAACTCAGACATAAGCCACGTTGGAGCGAGTCCTTCTGCTTAACTCTTGGGCTTTCTGGCTGAAAGCATCTCCACGAGCCTGAGACAGGCGCTGAGCAAATAAAAATATATCTGCTCTGCGAGAAAGGGTTTATTTCTTTTCTTACATAGAACGTGCAGTCCTGCTTTATTGTTACTTAAACACAGATTTCCTTTTATGAGCCATAAACGACATTCAGGTGTAGCACAGTGACTTTAAATCAGCTCCTCTGGCAACCATCTAGGTAATGTACTGTAAGGAACGCCCAACTGCCCTCTTTCTCCTTGTGTTAATTCATCTAAAGTCAGTGCTGCTGACTTTAGATACTTGCCTTTCATGAGTTCACTGAGCATAAAAGCCAGTTAAAGTTCCTAAGAAGCACGAAATAACTCAGCTGTGAGCAATATTGAAGCACGTGGGGGCGGCAGCGCTGCCAAAGCCAGCTCTTTATTCTGTTTCAGGGAGTTTCTGGATGAGGAGAGTTGAGCTGGTACTTTAAAGGTGATGGGGTGTGGGCTGAGCAGGGCATGATGTGATGGGGATGGGTTTTGGGAGGAACTGATGTGTACGAGGCCCAGGGTTTGCTTCAGCCTCCCTGCTCCGTTATGGTGTGTGGCTGAAGAGCATCCGAGCCAGAGTCTGCTCTGACTTGCAGCCCGGATTTACAGTGGGTTAATGCTGCTGATTTAAAAGGAGCTATCTGGATTTATAGGGCTTTTTATAAGTAGGATCAGGAATTTTAGCCATAATCCTGTGCAAATGTCTGGGTGTGAGTGGCGACGTGCACATCTGCATCACTAATGCAGTGTAATACCCACATCCAGCCCAAATGAAGGATGTAATAACAGCAGCACAACAGACAATAACAGTGTGAGTTTGCTTTCACAGAACTATGTGCATTAAAGGGTTATAATGTGATTCAAACCAGGCTCACAAAGATCCTGGGGTGGATAATCCAGCCGTAACTCTAAAACATGTGGCTGACTTTGTAGCACCCGCTGTCACCAGAAAAATCCATCTCCTTCCACTTTGGTAGTTGCTGTTTGAAAACAATTCATTTTTTTTCATGTAAGTCTCCATCTATTTGTTTTTCTGGCATCATGTGGAATACATGCAAGGCCCTTGCTAAAGCTCTCTATCCTGGAACTGTGAAAACTTCATAGGGCCAAAGAGATACCAACATCCCAGTGATGTGAGTCCAGGGAGGCCACTCAGTCCTAAAATCTTGAGCAGGATGGCACTGGAGTGGGCATCAGAGTAAGGCTTTTTTAGTTATTTACCTTACCAGGCAGGTCGATATCTTTACAGGGAAGCACTGGGAAACCAACCAGACTCTCAGCAGATGATGCTTCTTGACATCAGCTGGTTTGAAGCCAACTCTGATGATGGATGTTGCCTCTTGCCTTTAGGTTAACAGGGGAAAAATCCCAGCCCCCTCTCATGTTTGGTCTCTGTACAGTGCTATTTCCAGACTAAAGAAAAAGAGTTAAATTACATTTTAACAGAACAATATCTACAACAGCAAAGGTCAGGAAACTTTTACATAAGGTCACCCTATCGATTGCAACAGTGAAAGGAGAGACATCAAATACTTTGCCATGAAAGGCTGAAAAGAAGTAAATTCAGCATGATATATTGAAACCCAAGTCTCTTTCATATGTGGCAGAGCCTCTGACATAGCAGGTTTACTGTTCAAGCTGAGATATGTTGCCTTGCCAACATATATTCTGAGTTACCCAAGCAGATTTAATGTTTTTGCAGTAGTGACTTTTCCCTTTTTTGGAGGGGACACTTTTCTTTTTCTTTTCAAAAAAAAAAAAATTGTTGCAGAAGATTTCAAACCTACCTAGGAAATGACCTTAATCAATTTAGTTCCACCGATGAGTATGAAAACTCAGATCTTTCTTTTTGCTTTCTCTAAACATTGTCTTGCTTGCATTGAGCAGGGTGACCGAGTCACAGCTTGAGAGAAAAGTGCATTTTGTTTGTTGTTTTGTTGTGGTTTTTTTTTTAACCCATCCAAGTGGCAGCTCTGTTTTGTCCAAAAGGATTGACGTGACTGACAAGTGTTTTGAATTTCTAAGCTCTGAGGTCTCCAAATGCATGAAAAGCAAATGACACACACATAAAAATGTAAATCTTTGGAAAACAAGCACCAACTACAGACAAAAAAAATAACAATTCTGCAAAAGGGTGACAGACGCTGCATTCATTCTGGGTTTTTTTTTTCCCCTCCCTTTTTCTTTTTAATAAGCCAGTGTTTCTGGGCCACCTACAGGCACATTTGCATCTCCTGCAGCGGGGAATCAGACGAACAATGAGCCCAAGTCATGGGCAGAGTGGGTCTCTCTGCAGCTCAGGGTCACAGCTCCCATCACCACCAGCTCTCCGAGATCTGTTCCCATCAGCTCCGTGTCTGTCGGGCGGTGCCGTGGGTTTTAGTCCGATGGGCACATGGCATCTGGAATGTCCTCGTTGTTCAGGGCTTGGGCTGTGGGAGTCCCAGGAGAGTGAAACCATTGAGCTGGGCTGTGTCTCACCTCCCAGCCCTGCTGAAGCTGGATAAAGGTGGGCTTTGAGATGGGAGAGCCCTGCTAGTCCCATCACCTTCCACGGGTTGGTGAGGGGTCCCAGACTGGATTAAGGCATCCTCTGGGATGTCCTCAAACAGGCTGCTTTGGTTTAGGTCTGTGGGGTGTTGTTACCATAGATTCACATGTTGTGAATCATAGAATCTCCTGAGTTGGAAGGGACCCACGAGAATCATTGATTCCAAGTCCTGGCCCCGCCCAGGACACCCCAATAATCCCACCCTGTCCCTGAGAGCGTTGTCCAAACGCTCCTGGAGCTCTGGCAGCCTTGGGGCCGTGCCCAATGCCCTGGGGGGCCTGTTCAGTGCCCCACCACCCTCTGGGGCAAAACTTTTTCCTGATATCCAACCTAAGTCTCCCTTGACTCAGCTTCATGGTTATTCCCTTGGGTCATATCCCTGGTCACCAGTGATCAGGTGTGAGAAGGAAGCAAAGGCTTCTCCCTTCCTCCAGGCATCCCATTGCAACCTTGTTGTCCCTTGCTGTCCTGGGTAACGACTGTTCAGCTCAGGATTACCCGTGACAGACCCATGAACTTTCTCTGGAGAGCATTTTAATAATTTTTACTTCCTTTCACCAAGGGCTGCTAAAATACCTGAGACCACACCAGCTGAATGCAGGATGTGTTTTCATGGAGCAGCCCGTGAGCCCCACTGTCTCCTGGCTCTCTTTTTCCTCATGGCCTCACTCTAAAACCAAAGCAGGATGAAAGACAACAGGAATCCTGTGCCGTGTGGGAGATGCTGAGCCCTTTACTATGTCAGAGCTCGTCTCTAACCCAGCCAACTCCTTCCAGGGCCCGGCTTCACTTTCAAGGCTGTGCCGTTGCTTTGGTGGGTGGTGGTTTTACAAAGAGGATGGTGATGGGGAGAGGGTTTTTCTTCTCATTTCCCGTCCCGTCTGGCCAGTGAATGCGGGGTTTTTGGTCGAGGGGTTTGGAGGAGCGAGGGGGGGCAGTCAGTCGGAAACGCCGACCCTGAAAGCTCCAGAGAGCCACCGGCACCACTTCCTCTTGGTTCAGCTCCACCAGTTCTCCACAGCTGCTTCCATGGGAAGCTGGCTGGCTGAGGAGAATCCATACCTTCCCTCTGCAGTCGATCAATGAAATGCTGGAGTGTTTTGGATTCCTCTTTCCAAGAGAGAATAGTCCTCATTGTATGCCTGGAGAATAAAATAGCAAAGGGAGGGAGGGAGGGAGGGAGGGAGGCTCTTTCCTGTGCACGCTCTGACTCTCCTGGCTGAGAGGCAGCTTTGCTCACCCACCTTTGAGTTTGGCAGTACTTGGGACTTTCTAAACCTTACCTGAGTTGTGTCCGTCTGCAGAGTGAATGCTAGGCATGCTTTGCTCAATCTGATTATGGGATGAGGGTGTTGAAGCCTAGGAGATCCCTGGGAAAGGATGAGAAGTGGGTGTTTAGTGAAAGAAGCATCAACAGCCCTGATAGTTTGCTGTCATGAGCTGTTCTCTGGGCACTGTCTCAGCCCCATCACTCCTTTGCAACTGGTGATCTCTTGGTCCTGCTTCTGCAAAAGATACTTCAAGATGAAAGCCTGGATTTCAGGTTGAAAACTCTCAGACAGGTGAACATCCTGAGTGTCTGAGAGGGGTGACTACTTGGCTCAGCCCCTGAATGTCTGAATGCAAACTTGAAGTGCATTAAACCTTCTCCAGGCAGTGGGGGTTTCACACTTAGAAAAGCTTTCTGAGGTTTCCAGCGTTTGCTGCTTCCAGTCAGGCTGGAATTCAAAAGTGCAAAGGCCCATGGAAATGATTAATAAAGAACAAAAACCAGACTGTGAGACAGGTTCAGCTCCACAACGACCCTGAAATCATAGGCTTGCAGTAGTCACATGCTTTGTTTAGGTAGATTTGCTCTTGTAGAGCTGGAAATTTTTCAAGCTGTATTCAAGCCCAGGTGCTGCTTGTATAAGGGTCGAGAATGTCTCCAGGTGTAAAATTTCCAGTGTCTGTTGGCATCAGTGTGTTATATTCATTTATGTGTCTGGAAAGTCTGGTCCAGGCAGTTTGGTGGAATTAAATGGGATTACTTGCACGGTGGGTAAGCGCTTCTGTACACGTAGCCTTCTCCCCACAGTTTGCCATAGATCTTGTTGACAATCTCTTTACCTCATGGCAGTGACAAGGTCCCAGACACCTCTCAGCCTGGATTTCTTCATACGAGGTTTCTTGACTCCCTTCTGCTCTGTGAGACCAGCAGTTTGTTGCCTGTGGTGTGTTGGACCTGGGAGGTGTCTGTGGAAGGGGAGGCTGCTTCCCATTTGCTCCAAGGAAAATCTCCACAGGCAAAGGCCCCTTTGGAGATGGTATCGGCCCAAAGAGGGATTGTTGTCACACACACTGTGAAAGGAAGCAAATGCTTAGGATGAGGAGTCAGGTTTAGCAGGTCCTTCTCTTTGGTGATGCATCTTGGGATCTGCTTCCATGTGGTGAGTGTTATTCCAGCTCAGCCGTGGCTCCTGGGAATAATGGGACATCCCATGCATCAGCAGCTCATTGTCCCCATCCTGCCCACTCCTGTGCCCGTGGCTGATACCCAGGGCAAGAAATTTTGGCCTGGCTGGAGCCGGTGGAGTGTCACTAATTCTGACTTGTAAGGTCAGACTGTGGGGCCTTCAAGGGGTCCATGAGCTCTCTCGAGGCTTGTCATGTCTTTATGCTGTTTGTACTATATATATGTATATGCTGTATTTATGTATATTTATGTTAATATTAAGCTGGGGGTGTATAATGTGGTAACGCACAGCACCAGAAATATTATCTGGGATCTCACAAATCCCTTCTCCTTTCCTGGGGTAAGTGGCCAACCCTTCCCACTCTCTAAGGCATTTGATTACATCCACTGTGCTTAGGAGCTAAAGTGTCTCAGCTTGCAGGGTGATGAAAAAGGGAACTCCAAATGAACTGCAAGTGGTCAGGTTTGTGTTACACACGTAGGACCTTCCCGCAGGGAGTCATCCGAAGCTGATTTAACCACCTTCCCCCTTCCATTGACAGCTAAAGTTGTGCATTAGAGGAAGACACTAGGAGAGAATGATTACAAACAAGACTCTGAGGTAACCCATCATCCCATGCCTTGTAGGAGAAGGATGGAGACAACTGATATGGGAAGAGCAAAGCTGTTGACTGTTTCCAGGACCTGTGATTCACAGGTAAAGAGGGTTTTTTTCCCCCTTTGCTGTGCTAAGATGTAAGTTAAGATGCCATCTTAATCAGAAATCCATCCAGTTCTGATTTTGAGTCAGCTGAGGTGTTGTTGGGGCTTTTTCGTAGTGTGCAGCCTCTCTGTTTGCTCTTGTTGTTCATTTGCAAGGGCTGAAGATGAGAGCTTGGATTTGGGAGAGCTGAAAAGCCTGTGTTGAACTGAAAGGCTGTTTTTAGCAGCAGCATCTGCTTGATGACCAGCACTGTATTCATCAGGATAGATAAAACTCACCCAAGGTGTTTTGCTTGACTGTACTCTTCCTCTGCCTCCTGCGGTCTTCTTGACCTCCTCCTGCAAACCTGGAGCTGGGAAACTTGTGTTTCCACCAGTTCCAGGAGCCTTATCTCTGCCTTGCAGCTGGGAGCAGGACCCTGTCCTATCTGTGGTACTGCAGACACGGCTCCACACGAGCTGGCACCTGAAATCCCAACAGGTAGCACCAAGTTCTCTGCTCATCTTTGCCATGTCCCTTCCTGTCGAGGATCATTTCTCTGGGCCCCTGGATGAACGTGACGAGGGATGACACTTTGTAAAAGCCATTTTGTAGCTGGTAAGTGTTCCAGGGCAGCTCCCTGCCTTATTCTCTGGTGGTCCTGCTGCCTGCAGCATTCCCACAACCTCGTTGAGGTTTGTCGGAAGCAATATCTCTTGTTAGATTATCCAGTAGATTTGGGAAAAAACAGGCAAGCCACTCTTCAGGCTAAAAGCATATCTGTTTTTCCCCAGTTGTGTCAGTGCTGGTTTTTCCAGCTGATAAAAGCCATGTGCTGTGCTCCCTGTGCTATCAAATGCTGTGAGACGTTGCAGGAGTTCTGGGCCCACTGTTGGCAGCAAACCTTGTTCTGGTGGAGCCCAGTTCCTACTCCCCTCTGTCTGAAAGCCCCTTGGGAGGTGATCCCTGCTCAGGTGGGAGCTTCCCAGCTGCTTACAAAGATGTGAAGGTCTCTTCTCTTGTCTGTCATCCCTGAAAACACATTCTCCAGGCAGCTCCTGAGAGCCAGAGTTGCCCACGGCCCCCTTACAATCCATGTTTGACAGACTGAACCAGCTGGTTAAGAAACTCCTCCAAGATAACACCAGGGCTATTTGTTTTATAGTCCAATCCAGTGACATTTTATTCCCTCACCAGCAGTAGCCAGTTGTTTTTTGCAAGTCTAATACAGGTTACTAATATATCATGTGATAAAATTATGGGGTTTTCTCTAGTGCCAGACACTTGGAAGCATCTGGTTAGATAGAGAAGTACCTGGCATGGATAAATCATTGATTAAAAAGCTTGTAATTTTTTTTTAACTACTTTTATTTTATGTTTCCTCGTGTGTGCTCCCACCTCCTGGGGCATCTCCCCAGCTGGCTGGGGAGGAGTGACTGTCACTGAAAGCCCAGCCCAGAGGATGCTCTGCTGGAAAGACAAGAAAGTGGTGGGAATGCTCTGAAGTCAGTTTTATACCTCATTTACAGGGGTCTGCCTTTAAAAGCAAAAAATAGGTTTCCTTTACTTACTTGGCAGAGGAAACATTTTGCACAGGGCTCTTGTCAGAGCATCTGTTCCCCTCATTTACAAAGCAGCTGTTTAAGCTGTGCTTTGTAAGTGTGTAGTGTGGCATATTACTCATCTAGTAATTCCCTGCTCCATCTAAGAATAGGATGGGATGTCCTCTCAGTTCCACGTACCTTTGCCTGTGGTGATTGGAGTTTTCCAGCTGAGGTGTCTGCCTTGGACCACGTTCTTCTGGAGAAGTACCAGCTCAGAGTGGGACAGTCAGTTCTGAGAATAAAACTGTGGAAAGCCAAATCATTTTTCCACCTTGAAGCAAGCCTGGCTCTTGTGGAAAAGGCAAGGGGAAAAGAAGGGAAACTGTTAGAGCTTTTCAGTTAATTCCCTGAATATGCCTCTACATGGACCATGTTTTACCTTTCCGATGTCTTCCTCTGAGCTGTCCTTGCCTTTTTGCAAGCCTGAGGGCTTTGGCCACAAAGAGATCAGTGGTCTGTCACTGGGGGAACCTTATCTCCATTTGGTGGCTTCCAGGAGGAAGTGCTGAACTGGCTGGAAGCGTGATGAGTTTGTAGTTCATGCTTTTATCATGTTTAAGGCCATTTTTTTTTCTTTTTAGAGACAGACCATATCCCAGAATGGAGGAGGTTATAGAGTTTCTAGAATATGTTAAGATCTGTATGACCTAATCCCACTGGGGTATGCCTGGGGCTCACCTAAAATCATCATGGAGTGCTGTGTCTGGTTCTGTGCCCTCATGGAAGAGACACCGATGGGCTGGAGCGTGTCCAGGGAAGGGAACAGGGCTGGGAAGGGGCTGGAGCAGCAGGAGCAGCTCAGGGAGCTGGGGGGGCTCAGCCTGGAGAAAAGGAGGCTCAGGGGGGACCTTCTGGCTCTGCAACTCCCTGACAGGAGGGGGGAGCTGGGGGGGGTTGGGCTCTGCTCCCAGGGAACAAGGGACAGGAGGAGAGGGAACGACCTCCAGTTGTGCCAGGGAGGTTCATGTTGGACGTCAGGAGGAATTGCTGTGTTTTCCAGCCTCTGGGAGCAGCAGTGGGGGGATGGAAACAGCCTGGGTGCAGGGAGCTGGCATTTTACCCTCCAGGGTAGCCCTGCAAGTGAAGATATTCGAAGTTAAATGCAAAAAATAATCATGTTTACAGTGAGCTAGAGCCCCAGCACTTGTCTGTTGGCTGATGGGCAATTAAACTCTCCCAACAGGTTTTCTGCCCAGACATGATAAGACAGGAGGGTGTGAGTGAGGTATTATGGACAGTTTCTGGATGCATCTTGTCCTGGGGGTTTACTCTGGGGGCTGATGCAAGGGGACATCTCCCGTGGAACACCCTTTATGTTCATTTCACAACCGATTTGCTTCGAACAAATGCAGACATGTGTGATCTGCATGAGAAAAGCTCGCGGGGGGACGGGCTCAGGGGTGGGCAGAGGGTGGCTGGGTGGGCTCGGGAAGGCCACCTTGGTGGCAGCCCAGCCTCCAGGGATAGCAGCAGAGGCAGCTGACTGACTCCCAGAGCAGATTTGGTACCTGAGGGCGGAAAACTCGCTGGATGAGCGGGTCCTGCAAGCCCCGCTCAGCAAAATCTGTCTGAGCTGTTTTCTGCAGGGCTTGGTCTCAGAATTTATGTACCTTGGAGCAAAGAACGGCCAAAGCTTGTGGAAGGCATCGTTATCACTAATCATGCAAAGCAAAACTGAGCTTCTGCAGTGCTACCCTTCCAGGGACAAGGGCAGGGGTGGTGTTTTGGCAATGCAGAGGATGCCAGGGCTGGGAGAAAATTCCTGAGGCTTGTTGGCACAGGTGTAAAAAGGCAAAGAAAATTCCTGGGGCTTGCAGAGGCACTGTAGGGAGAGATGTTTTTGACTGCTGCCTTTCAGAGGAGACAGACAGAGGGCAGGGGCTCTGGCCACTCTCCCCAGTTCTGCTGTTCTATCCCTTCCCATCCCAGACTGGGAGAGGTTGGTACCCCGGCTGCCATTGCCTCTGGCAATCTGTTGCCCTTGGCAACTCCCCTGCCCGGGTGCTTGTGCCCTTCTAACCAGCCTTTGGTCACAGCAGTGTAAAAGGGAGGGGTTCTGCTGGGGTTACTTCTATTTGAACTGACATTTCCCAGTTCTCTCCTCTCTTAATTAGTCCATTCCCTGCTTCTTTTCAACCCTGCTGGAAATCTTTCCATGCAAGGGCATTACACAGCAGAGTATTTAGCAGGAAAAGCTTCTGATTGTGCTGTATCTGTAGCATAGGTGTTAAAGATGTATTTGTGAGCCAGTCAGAGAAGAATGCTGAGGAAATCCTGTTTGGGTTAATCTTGTTTAATTTTATAATAAAAAACAGATGGCTGGCCATCTGGAGCTTCTTGCAATCAAATATCTCACAATTAACAGTAATTTACTTGCCCTGAGACTTCCATGATCTTCATGTGCTTTTTTTTTTCCCCCTTCAACCTGTCTGTGTGGTCCCTTCCCAGGGTAGTGCTGAGTGTAAGCTGCCTGGGGAAAGGCATGATGGAGGGGCTTCCTGGAGGCATCTGCTTTCCTCCTGGATTTTCCACTTACACCCCCAAAACTGGAGCTTAGGCAACTGTACCTTGTGCTTTTCTGACCCTGTAGGACCCACTCTCAGAGTAAGCAAAGTGAAGGACTGTACATACCTATAGATGGGTCATGGCAAGATAGGTAAGACAGCACTTAAGGGGAACATACAAATTAGATCTACTGTTTTTACCAGGCTGTGGGAATTCTTCAGAGCTCAAAATGATTCTAATCTGAAGTGGGTTTGCTCCAGCAGTTTAAGTTATTGGATGTAATTAAATGAGATGCAGGTGATCCTCAGCACTAGGAAAGCTTTCTGAGGGAATTATCAGCAAAATGAGATGGAGAGTGAAACCCATGGGGCACCTTTTTCTGTGTGTTCTTATCTCCAGGAGGTTGAGAAACCCCCAGGATTCATTATTTCCAGAGGTGACATTGGCAATGGAGACTGGCCTCTTCAATAACTTCAGGTCTCTTTTGAGTATGTCCTTCCCAACCAGCCGTGTAGTTGAATAGCATCAATAGTTAACGTGAATAAATGAATTCCAGATGAGGGATCTGCATGCCGGTAGGTAAGAGCTCTCCCAGGCATTCCTGGGTGATTGCTGGTTGTTTACTATCCTAATATTTTTTTGCTAGCAGATTAAGAAAAATAACTGAGCTCTTCCCCTCCTCCTCCTCCTCCACAAAATCGCTGGCTTTGCGTGCGCTCAGGGAATCAGGTCATGGAGCTAAAGGATATATTCAGACACCAGGGGATGTTGGACTGCAGCTATGCTCCATCCTCCAAGTTATTTAAATGGAGAGGAGCCTTCTGAAGGGCAAGAGCTCATTTTAACAGGGTTCCCAAAGGGATGTCAGGGCATTGGTGGGATTGATGGAGCAAGCAGGGGTAAGGTTTCACGCTACCCCAGCCACCAAATGATCAGATCTCAGAGGTGCAGTGGATCCAACATCCATCCTGAGCAGCTCACCAGCCAGCAAGTTGAAAAAAAGGGCAGTTGGAAAAACAGAGTAATTAGTGGAATGGCAGGAATATGCAGGTCAGTAAAATGATTGTTATTATTAATGGTTATTATTACAGCAGTGGGAAGGTGCTGCATATGCTGATCTGGGACCTGTGTACGTAGAATTGTTCATGAACATTTCTAGGCAAGTGCTGCTCAGCTCTCAGAACACATTCTGGAACCTCTGCACCCTGTTTCCTCCCTTTTCTTTTTCCTTTTTTCCTGGTGGGAGCAGGGCAGACTCTTTTGCCCTTTGATGCTGGTTTTCCCCTGCCTGATGCAGCCTTTGTCTGCAGTGACTTTTTCAGAGAAGGATAAGAATGGACGGGGCTTGGAGCAACCTGGTCTGGTGGAAGGTGTTCCTGCCCATGGCAGGGGAGTGGAACAAGAAGGTCTTTCAGGCCCCTTCCACCCCAAGCCATTCCGTGATTCTGTGATCCAGTGATTAGGACCTGTCTAGCAGGTGACCCCATGGGAATCTTTTCTGTGCTACTGGGCACGTCACTGAGGATGTGATTACAAGCTTTGCTCCAAACTCTGCCCCAATTCAGGTTTTCTCACCCATCCACCCAGTTATGTGGAGTGGATGGAGGCCCTGGGGCTCTGAGTGGGATTGCTCCCACATGAACATTTCCATCCTTGTTCCTGCCATCGGCATGGCACAGGCACCCACCATGGGTGATGCTTGGCTCCGGCTGCTTGGTGTGTTTGCTGCCCAAGGGGTGTGTGGACCATGAGACTCCCTCCATCCTGCTCTTTCCCATACCCCTTGGACACTTGGAGTGGTTCACCCTGCAGGACTCATCGCTCCATTGCTGCCACCTAACAGGCTGTAGGAAGCCTGGATGCCCAGCACAGCTGTGACACTGCTCTGAAGGGTCCGTGCCATCCCTGCCGGGCAGAGGAAAACCAAGAGGCACTGGGGACAAATAGATGCTGATGAATCAGCCATGCCAAGAAGTGAACCTTGTTCTTGAGGAGAGCTGGATCTTGCCAGCACAATAGCTGGATTACAAAGCCATTTCCTCCAATTACCTTCTCTGTCAAATCTCTGTGTCGTCTGGCACTAGGAAAGCTTGGATTCAAATTCATTGTGAATTGGGGCGACGACACCAGAGATTTCTAAATTAATATCCTGCCAAGAGGAATTGAGCTTGTTTTTTCCAGTCATGTCAGTTCTGATTCCTTTGCTTGTCAGAGAAAACTTGGGCATGCCATCTGGTTTCAAGGGCACAGAGTAAGGAATCATAGGTTGCTCAGCCCAGCATGTTGAGTTTGCTGTGCAACAGCTGCAGGGAGCTTTGGCGGGGGGAAAGAAAAATAAGTAAAAGGGCTTTGTGGGCCCTTCTTGGCACCTGGCAAAGGGCAGAGGGGGAGACCAGAGGCACAGGAAAAAGAGGGCATGACCTCTTCCTTGGAACAGTGGGAATGTGCACAGCAGAGTGGACTTGGATGAATTACTGCCCTCTTCACGTCTTCCCAGTAGACAGTCACAAGCCATTCTGGATGCATTAACCATGGACTGCTTGCTCCACAGGCTGCATTAAATACATTCAACTGAGTGCCAAAGAACTCCTCAGCACCACAAAACCCGTGGACCTTAAAATTTCCAGGAAAGGAGCAGCAACTGTGCCACTGAGCTGGGGCCTGGTGTCTGTCTTACCCCAAACTCATGGTTTTACAGGTCAGAATGGCCCTGGGATGGAGGTCTCCACAGCTGAGGATGGGAATGCTGTCAGCCTGGAAGGTGAGCTGTGGAGGGGCAGGGGCAATTGGGAGGGGCTGCATGTCCTTGTCCTGTTGCAGACAGGCTGGGACAGCCTTCAGAAAAAGAGGGGTGCAGGTCGTAGGGAAGGGCTGTGCAGTGGCAGGGAACAGCTTGGTGCCTGACACATCTCCTTCTGTAAGAAGCAGATTTGGAGAGATGTTTTGTGTCCCTCCTTTCAGCTGTAAGTGGGCAGAGGAGCCTCCTGGGGTGCCCCAGAGCTGAGCCCCCACAGCCGGTGCCGCTGGGGCTGCACAGCTCCTTTGTCAGGGCACCAGACGTTGTCACTGGGCCCCCAGCCAGCGGGTCACCTCTCTGCAGAGGCCCCGTCAGCCCTGGGTGCCAGCATTCCCACCCAGCCCTTGGGAAGGAGCCACCTGCTTCCCCTGGGCATCCCTGCCACTAGCTGCAGCTGCCAGCCTGGGGACCGGGGCCATGTCCCTCCCCTCCCGGCCCCTTCCAGCTGCAAGAGCAGGGCTTGGGGCGTGCAGTGCTGTCGGTGCCAACTGCCAGCTGGGAAGGGGGAGGCTGCTGCTGTGCCAGCAGCAAATTTGGAGATGCTTCCAGACTTCCCCCCTCCGTGAGCTGTTTGTACAAACCGTCTGCCTGAGCCGGGGTTTGTGGGGAGCGCACGGAAGGAGGAGCTGGGAAGGCACAGCAATGGGTGATATCCCTCTTCCCTTCATATTATCCCCACATCCTGCCTGTGGCTGCCTGCACTGCTCGCAGCAGGATGGAGAGATGGGCTCTCCGGATGCGCCGGCAGCTGCAGAGGTGTTGGTGGTCAGTGCTGGGGGCTGTGTGAGCACCCCATTTATCACCCCCACACACCAGCAGCCGCTCCTTATCTCTCTTCCCAGCTGGCATGGTCCATGCCAAGGCTGGAGCTGGAGAAATCGGTCTCTGTGTCATGAGCTGGTGGGTTGTGCTCTCCCTGCCACTGGTGCTGGTGCCTGCCTTGCTGTGCCCGGGCGGGCGCTGGGGTGTTTTGGGGGGCTGTGCTGGGAAATGCTGCTCGTGGCTCCTTCAGCGAGGGGCTGCTGGGGGCTCTCTCAGCCACAGCTTTATAAATTCAAACAGATGTGTTTTAGAAAACCCCAGCTTTGAGACGTACTCTCTGTTTAAATGGTTTCAGAGGAAATTTGCACTTCAGTGGATGTGCGGAAAAATGGTGTTTTCAAAGCGAAAATGAAATGAAAACCAGCCTTCCCCCTCCCTCCCCCAGTGAAACACTATTTGCAAAGTGGGGTCTCTGTTTTGAGGTATTTGAAGCACACAGACATCCTTCTTCTTGCTTCCTCCGCTTTTCTGTTCTTTGCTTCTATTTCCCGTATTTTCTTTATGTCCCAAGTCCATTCTCAGAGAGCTCTCAGCTCCCCTTGTCACTTGGAGGGTGTAGGGTGTCAGGAGAGAGCTGCTGAAGGGTTGTCTAGTGTATTAAATCCCTATACTTTCCATTTTTTTTTTTGGATAAAAAGTGCTCAGAACTGAAATTCTCTATAGAAACTCTCTAGTTTTTACACACATCAGGCTTTATAATTTATGCCTGCTTCCCTGAGGCTGTGCCTGTGAGCAGCTGCCTTGGGTCCTGCCTGTGCACAGGAAGGAGAGTGGATGGATTCCCAGGAGCTGCCGGTTTACCTGTGGATGGGGAGCCTGTTTGCACTGGCAGCTTGATAAAATCCTCACATCCTGCTGCATATCCTTCCCTCTCTGGCTGGGGGGATGATGGGGGGCCTTTTCCGGATGGAGTGACAGGACAAGGGGAATGGATTCAAAATGCCAGAGGGAAGGGCTGGATGGAATATTGGGAGGAATATTTTATGCTGAAGGTGGGGAGGCCCTGGCACAGGTTGCCCAGAGGAGCTGTGGCTGCCCCATCCCTGGAAGTGTCCAAGGCCAGGTTTGGAGCAACCCGGTCTCATGGAAGGTGTCCCTGCCCATGGAATGAACTGAGCTTTAAGGTCTCTTCCAACCCAAACCATTCCATGGTCCTGTGCCCAGAGGGCAGATTTAAGGCAGAGAGGTTGTGCTGTGTAAGCCTGTGTGTGTGTCAGCTTGTCTGTGGTGTCCTGTGAATGGAGACCTCTGAGGGGGGGTTCCACTGGGTGATGGAGGCTGTGGAGAGTGATGGTGTCAGTCCAGAGAGGGGCAAAGGCCCCCTGGATGCTGGTGGGGCTGGGATTTGGAGGGATAGTGCTGGATACGGGGGAGGACAGACCCGGCACTGTGGATCGGTGGCAGCGAGACCCTGAGTCTGTGCATTGTCCAAGGAGCTGCTCATGTGGTCTCAGTCGAGCCAAAATACTCTTTCAGAAAGAGAACGGGCCAGATGTCTCATTATTGCTGCTTACAATGCTGCCCTCCCAGCCCAGCGATCCATCAGGGGCTCGGCACAGCCCCACAGAAAGGTCCCTGACACGTTCTTACAGCAGGGCCAGGTTCTCACCACTTGTGTGCATTTGTGCCCCTTGACAAATGGCTGCCGGGCTCCGGTTTTGTTCCGAGTGGCGCTGGTGTCAAGCACAGGGCTCCTATTCAAGTGCCCACCAATGGTGGCCCACAACTCGCTGCTTCCTCTCCTTCTCTTGCTTTGTTTCCCCATGACAGTCACTCAGGAAGTTTTTTGCAATCTCACTGGGTATTTTTAAAGACAGTTTTCAAGGGGCAAAGGAGCGCCTCTCTGAGCAAAGACTGTAAAAATGCCTTGGGAGTACACGAGGTGAGGAATTCCTGCTTGTGTGGCTGCGTTGCTCACACGACATTTAATTGCCTTTTTCTTTTTTTAGGCAATTTTTCCAACAAGTTGATTTATGGAATTGGCTGGCAAAGCCTTGAATACATTGAGAAATACAACTTCTACAATGGACCAACACATCCTTAAGGAATGAATGGTTCCTCTTTAAACTAGGAGCTGTGCTCCTGGCTGCTCTGAGCACCTTGGGAATGGAGGAGGATTAGGACCAGGCTGTGAACTGTGGTGTTTGTCCTGCTGTGTAAACCTGTACTGGTAAGATGTTGGCTTTAAACTGCATTCTAAGTTATGTGTGTGGCCAAAATTGCCTATAGAAAGTGCCCCAGAGGAGTCATGGTCTGTACAGAGACACAGCACAAGGATGTCCCAGCCTGCAGAAACTGGCAGTGTGAGCTCCCAGGCTGCTGGTAAAACCCAGGCAGGCCAGTCCATGCAACCCTGGGTGCCAGTGTGATGTTTCTGTCCAGATCTTCTTGTTATGAAAAGTTTGGTTTTATAAATAAGGAGTCCTTTGTGTTCTCCAGACAGTGACTTTCTGCCATATTATCTCACTGCAGTTCCCCTCTGACTTCAGTGAGTATTTTGTGCGCTCAGAGAGCGTTTTCCATCCCTTGAGCCTGAAAGAGAAGAGGATATATGGAATGGGGAGCTTGAGGCACCAACTCAGCAAATACCAGAGTGTGTATGTAAGCGTTTGCAGGTCGGAGATGGAAGTACACAAGTGGTCTTGATCATCTTAAACCACTCTGTTGCTGGGTCCAAGGGCTGAGCTGGGAGCAGGTAGCACAGTTTGCACATTGACATTTTCAGCTGCCTTGTCTGAGGAGAGCTTTCCCTCTGCCCTGATCTTGCATCTTCTTCCAGTTAGCCTGTCTAACAGACTTAAAGCTACCCGGCTCCACGTCATGTTGCCAGTGTAGCAGGTTCAATTATCTTCTTATGGTCTTAATCTCCATTCTCTTCAATTTTGGCAGGTACATGATGATGTCTGTGACCCATTAGTGTTTCTCTTTCTGACCTGTTGTTGTCCCCCCTAATGCTATTGTTATGGAGGTTTTTGGTGGCCCTTCCTATATCTTACACTTTCAGTAAAGATCAGCTTTCACTCCAGCCTTCAAAGTCATCCCTTGCTTCTTTCTAGCCAGGTAAAGCCTGGGGGGATCCTGTGGCAGATAATGTGAGCGTCTCAACTGGTAATTATAAAGCCAGGATCTGTAATTAACTTTTCTATAAAACTCTCAACCCCAAGGTGTGCCTTTATCCCTCTATTAATTAGCACAGGGAAGGGACGCTCCTGTCTAGAGGCAGAAGACAAAAATAGGAGCAGGGGCGAAATAGAACTGGTTCCTTTGAATGATAAATATTGTTCCCTTTATGCCTTAAATAAAAGGAGAGTTTGGCTAAAACCAGGGGGGGTTTAACTCTTGGAAAAACTGACTTAAACAGAATTGGAGGAAATAGTCCCGGATTAGGCACCAGAAACCTCTTCCAGCAAATTTCTCTCATTCAAAGGTAAGCTCAGCTCAGTTGATACCTGTGTATTCTTGGTAAAGGTTTGTTCAGCCTGTTTCTGGGACTGTTGAAATGTTCTGGTTTTGCAGACATGAGGCTTGGGAGCACACTTGGGTTTGTGTGTTAACCCCTGTGAGCTGTGGCTTTGGGAACAGACCATATATTGACAGAGCTGTTAACATGTCACTATTTACATACTTTTTTTTTTTTTTAATATTAGCAATTTGGAAACAGTTTAAAAACTCTTCCATGGAAAAGACTGTCTGAGAATAGAGTTTTTTTCACAAACGTTCATGAGGAATTGATTATGCAGTCCTGTGTACTGGAAGGAGAACTTGATGTACCTCCATATAAATCTACAAGCAGCAGGACTTGTTCTGCCAGATTTGAAGCAAAGAGAAGAGTCCCCCAGGGGAGAGGGTAATAGCCAACAAAAGCAGGTAGTGTCTGGCAAATCTTACTAATACTGGGGATTCAAAACTGGTCAAGCTGGAGAGCACAGCAGTAGGATACCTGTAGGATGCCTGCCTGAGGACTGTGCAGCTTTGCCAAAGAAAGTTGAACTAGGTAGTTGAAGTGTTTGTTGGTTGGCTGGACTAACTTAAAAATGAAAAAAAAAAACAAAACCAAAACCAAAAACTATTTCAGTTGAGCCCACTGAAGGTTTTTGGGGGACTCTTGGGAGAAACACCATCTGCACAAATGATGGCAGCTGAGTGTTCCCCCTCTGATCTGCGCTCATGGCCAGTAAGGGCTGCACTGTGATTGCATTTCCAAGCCTCCCATGTGTTTCCCAGCAGGAAGCTGACGGGAGAGCACCGTGCTGTAACACTGAGCTGCTCTGGACGCATTTGGGTGGAAGTGTGTTAAGACATGATTTAAATTCACCACCAGGCCCAGACATTCCTTCCAGGAGGTCTAAGCGTGCTCGTGTGTCTTGGCTCTGCAGGTTCTGAGCTGCCGTGGGCCTTCTGACTCGTGGGGTTCCTGGAGGCAGGCAGCCTCCCCAGTGGGGGTGATATTTGTGTTTGGGGTTTGTTTTGCTCATTGCACAATTCCTTGGAATAACTAACGCCTTTCACCTTTTCCTCCGCGTCCCACTCGGTGACTCAGGGCGAAGGCATCTGGCTCAGAGCGGTGTGTTTGCTGGGCTGTTTTGTGCTTTTCCAGATGTGCAGGAGCTCTGGAACGATAGCTGGAATGGGGATGAGTGTTATGAGTGGTGCTGGTGCTCAGCTCTAGTTCTCCCAGGAGGTGGGAGTGAGGCTTTGGCATCATACAGAGGATCCTCGTTTTCCATCCAGTTACGGCTGATGACACCCCTTTGGATCTGGGGCATGTGGGAGCTGTTATATTCTTGGCAAGTGTTTCAGGTGAAACCACCACTGAGGTGGTGTGCCCAGGTGGCCAAGAAGGCCAAGGGCACCTCAGCTGTGCCAGCCATGGTGTGTCAGAGGACCAGGGCAGGGCCCACCCCTGTGCTGGGCACAGCTGAGGCCCCTCAAGGGCTGGGCCCAGTTCTGGGCCGTCATGGAAGAGACACTGAGGGGCTGGAGCGTGTCCAGGGAAGGGAACGGAGCTGGGGAAGGGGCTGGAGCAGCAGGAGCAGCTCAGGGAGCTGGGGGGGCTCAGCCTGGAGAAAAGGAGGCTCAGGGGGGACCTTCTGGCTCTGCAACCCCCTGACAGGAGGGGGGAGCCGAGGGGGGGTCGGGCTCTGCTCCCAGGGAACAAAGGACAGGACAAGAAGGAAAGGCCTCGAGTTGTGCCAGAGGAAGTTTAGGTTGGATATTGGGAACAATTCCTTCATGGAAGGATTGTCCAGCCTTGGCACGGCTGCCCAGGGCAGTGGTGGAGCCCCCATCCCTGGAGGGATTTAAAAGCCATGTGCATGTGGCACTTTGTGGCGTGGTTTAGTGGTGGCCTTTGCAGTGCTGGGGGAATAGTTGGACTCAAATATCTTAGAGGGCTTTTCCATCCTTAACAGTTCTATGACTGTGAAAGCAGTGGCTTCAGGGTGCTCTCTGCAAGATGCAGTGGTTCAGCACAGATCCTCCCTGGAGACAGCCTCACGAAATGAGGGTCCAGAACAGGGAATTGTCCAGGCCTCCCTACTTACCTCCCACCTCTTCTCAATCTGGTTGATCGTGGAGCCATTAGGGTGGCTTAAAGTTCTACCTCTTCATTACCCACCATCATCCCTGTCTCCCTGCAAGGAGTGTCCAGGGTCAAGCCACGCAGATTTCCAGAGCCCAAAGCAAAGCAAACCAAACTCTTAAATTCTTCTAACTCTTGAAAGGCCCTCAGATGCTGTGCTATGGGGCCCAGAAATGCTCAGGTTATTAGCTGCTAATAACCGTGGAGGGCTGCCAGCACTGGGAACGGCTCGTGCTGTTGTCACAGCACAGGGGACAGCTGAGCAGTGCCTTCCTGGAGGTGTTCCTGAAGAGCCTGATGGGCTCAAACCAGGGGGGTTTAGTGTTGGGAGGGACCTTGAAGTTCATCAGCTTGAGACTGTTTCCTCTTGTACTGTCTCTTGTTCCCTGGGAGAAGAGTCTGACCCCCACCTGGCTACAACCTCATGTCAGGAGGGAAGAAACTTCTTTAGGTGACACCTCTGTATTTACCTGAAGAGAACCAAAGCATTAAGAAGTGTGAAGGGCTTCTTAGACTGGCCAGCATTTCTAGCTCATGTTATCAGTCCATCTATACAGAAGCCCTCATCCAAGGCTAGACAAGGCTGAATGCAAATAGTGAGGATATATTTGTATACTGTGGCATAACTATAGCCCCAGGCTCTGATTCATGTGCTAAGTTGGTACTTCTGAGTGCTATAAGTTGTTCATTACATCATTAATTAACCATTAGGAGAGCTTTAGACATTGCATACATTTAGTTCATAAACTTCTACCCCTGTTCATCACCCACAAAACTGATAATTTTGCAACCCTTGCCTTTCTTAGGACTTGGGATGTCATCAAATTATGGGGCATCCCAGACATCTCTAAAATATGTGTCTTAATTTATTCCAGCCTTGAGGATATTCTTAGGCTGTTTTGCTGATAAACTCTTCAAAGGATGTGCATGAACCCTCATCCCCCACTCCCACCACTTCTAAACCTTGGCTTGGTCAAGGATGCTTGTCCAGCATTCCACTGTCCTGAGCCTTGAGCTGAATCAATGTCCTTTATCCTTCTGTGGAGGATGGTAATGATTTTGCAGCCCATGTACTCCTAAATGTTCCTCACATGACAAACTAGCCACTGAAGTCTGGAGGGAGTCTCCTTAATGTTTGTATTTATAGGCCCAAATGAGTATGGCCCTGTGGAGATCCTTGCCTCCTGCAATGATTCCAGCTCCAGCCTGTGTGTTCCTTGTCAGTCTAGGCTTGGAAGGGATCTTAAAGCTCATCTCATGCCAAACCCCTGCCATGGGCAGGGACACCTTCCACTAGCCCAGGTTGCTCCAAACCGTGTCCAACCTGGCCTTGGACACTTCCAGGGATCCAGGGGCAGCCCCAGCTTCTCTGGGCAACCTGTGCAAGTTCAGTCAGGATCTTAGGTTTAAAGGAGGCTTAAATTTTAACTCATTCCCAGTCCAGGTTAGAGGCTTTCCTGTGTAATGGTGAATGTGGGGGAACTAAAGGCAAGATCCTGATTGCTTCATGCATGACATATAAATCTATCCTGGATAAAAGTAGTGCTCAAAATCATCTGATGAGGTTGTCAGGGCAGGTCACCAAACAA